GGTTGATCTGAGGAAAAATCATAACAAACCATTGCTCAGCAACTACTCTTGCTATGTCTACGCTACTGCATTAAAATTATCAATCGTGGTCTTAGTTGYAAAATGTCATTGCATGATAAATTCAGAATGCAGAGTGACACTAATTGGGTCCAAAGTGGTGACTGTCAGATTGTCCTTCAACATTGATTCCATTGTTTTCTTGGATGAGAAATCCGAAGTGGAAACAAGCAAGGGCAAGTTGATGAATTATGTTTTTTCTGTCTTCCATTTTCTTACATGTGGCCTGTATGATGGTAATGTTGTAGCAAAGCAAGAGCTCTGCGACCAATAAATCTRTTAAGATTCTTGTTTCGGTAGCATATCCAGATCTTTTAGCATTCGCATCTAGCGCTGATTGTAAGCCACACAATAAYAAAATTCTCTTGTCACCACTAGCTCCAGTTGTCACGAAACGGCCAGATCCGTAGCAAATATTGTCTACAAGATGTGCAATTCTTTTGRCTAATCCCACAAAGTCATTTCTCTTCTTTGTACTCCAATTATCACGCACAAGGTCTATCATATCGGAGCCTTCTAGTTCAAAAACCAACAATGCCTTGGATGATAACGAATAATCTTCATTTACGGCACGCATAATGATTGGGACAGAATAATCACGGGCTTTGCAATCCGGCTCGATAGATAGCTTGTAGAATGCCCTTTCATGAAGTCTGGGATTGAAATATTTCCTTGCCTKCTCGCCCGAAAGGTTTATGATCACATGTCGACGAGAAGTACAGTTTGATTTGGGASAAGCAACAGGGTTGTCCAAGAGCAGTTCCAAAGTTTCTTCGTGGGAGTGATCTTGATAAAGAGTGCTGAGATAGATACCGTGATCCTGTACTAGTTCTTTGTGCAATAGGAGGGCTGCTTGTCCACTGAGCTTTCTYYTTCTCGGTAGAACTGGAGACGTTACAATTCGATAGATGGCATTGCTCCATCCCGTCGCAGARCTCTTCAAATCGCCTTGATCTTCGTCGGTTCCATTGACTATGAGATGGGACAGCAAATCCGACTTCGCTTTTTCGCTRCAACAAGAACCATAAAGCGATTTGAGTTCTTGATCGCTACCGACTACACTTGCAATTCTTTTCGCTATGCGCCACGGAATTCCGGCCTGAATTAGCTTGTCGCKTAGTGCCTTGAAACCATGGCACATAAAGCTACTTTTTCTGTAYTTTCCGTTCAACTGATGATCAATTTCCTTCCTATAATTTTCGGAGGCAAATAGAGCCATGAGTCCCAGAGCTCCGACCGCTCTCAATGATGCTTGCTCGTCTTTCGATTGAATAAACTTTATGCCATTGCCAGACAACATAATTCTTCCGAACATCCGGAAGACATCGTCTTCGCATGTAATGATTGAATCTAGGGGGTCAAACCTATCAGAATTCTGATTATTGTAAGGTGTGATACTCGARGTCATGCGTGTATCGTTCTCAATTAGTAGTATGGATAAGGAACAGTGTTGTCGCATCCGAAACAATTGAKCGAGGTGATCTCCGTCCGACGATCGTTGTACTAGATCATTCACTCGTTTTCTCTCGACGGAGACACCCAATCTTCTTGGCTGGGAGTTGCCACTCTGAATTTTGTATTGGAAATCACCCCAATCCAGCCTTGCTTCTTCCACTTGTGCAGTAGGCAAAGACGRTGGCCATACAGCGCTCAGCGATCCAGACGAAAGATGCCGAGTCAATTCCATCCGCAAAGTGCGGGGGGTTGCGTTCCGATTGCGTTCTCTATTATCGATCACCACCGTCAATTGGTCATCATTCTTTGTCCTTGTAAGAACACCCATTGGCAATGRTTCTGAATCATCGACAATTTCTACCTCTCTGTCTTCCTCGTCCATGAGTCGGCCATTCGAAAGGTATATTGGCCCTTTTTTATCTGTCCTTGRAAGTTSTATCGGTTCGACACAAGTCTCTTTTGTTTTACAAACCTCCGTKGCATGCAAATCGTCATCGCTGCTTTCGCACAGATCGATGCTCTGCCCCGAAGGTGGTGCTGATAGTTTTTTGGACATCACCGCTCGAGGTTTCGTTGCTAGTTTCCACGACTGGTTATTCTTCCGCACAGCCGGCGGTTCGATCATCGAGCCATCACTATCGGTATCAATAAAACATATTTCTTTCTCCGGTAGTTCCCTCTTTTCTTGGAGAAGAATCTTCTTTCGTTTCTTTTGGGGAAGCAGCAGTGTGTGTTCGTCATCACTGCTTTCAACTGAAAATATCGCCATATTCACTGTACTTCGTTTTCGTGATTCTTGTCGGGATGGTTCTCTTGTGTTTTGTGAAACGTTATCTTCCGCCTTGATGGTCTGGTTGCTATTGTGAAACGAAGCCCTGCAATTTTTACCATCGAAAAGAACMTTTTGCGTTCGCTTGGTGTTATGTGTCGTATTCACCGTTTTCATCGACTCGGCAATAGCTTTTTTCAATTCAATGTTCTCCCTTGCTTCCGCCTCACGCTTCATGGCAGCAAGCGCAGCATTTTCTCTTGSACTTCGAATAGGTGAAGAAAGATGGGCTGGCGATTCACCAAATGATACAGGCCGCCCAGGCCATGAAAAAGCTGACGATGAAATGGTTGGATCCAGAGACATGGACGAGGACTTTCCTGCAYATGGTGGCATTATCGACGACGCCACTGACTGCAGAGCACGCGACGGTTTCGAAACGAGCTGGATGCACAACGTCCGGCCTCTTGATGACCCCGAGGAGCCATGAGTGAGAAGAAGACCTGGTTGTCGCATTTGCAAAGAATCACAAAGGTCGTGCAAGTGTKTGCGACGGTCCTTCCCAACAGGAAATTCTTTTGTATCCCCCACGTTTGCTGTTACAATCCAATCTTCCAGTTGAACCCGATCCGCATTCTTATTTGTGCAGTTCTTACCAGTAGCAAATGGTAGCTCTGCACTGATRGAATCCTTCCCACTGTGGCTAACTTCCCTAAATTGTATTCCTCTGCTGCCGTTAACCGCTCTCGTATGCCCMGCAGTCACTCTTGCTTTTGGTACCCCCAATGCCCCTATTRCTTGAATGGCGGCWTCCATTGCCTCAGGTCTGTTCGCAAACAATGCCTCGATAAAGAGCTCGCCGTTTTTGGTCAGGCTATAGGTATGTGGTCGATCCCTRAATCCATTTGGCGTAAAGGTTGTATATCCTTGTTCCGTAACAAATTGGTGCTGCTTCAGGGTTTTCATCGACGCCCACGCCCCGTAGGGCCGACCGGCATGGAAATTGGCCTCCATTTCATCGTCGCAAAATCGCTGAGCCTCKTGGCAGATTTGATTCTTTCGTAGTACTTCGGTTCGGGAGTAATGAAAGGCCATCAATATAGCAAACGCACCTCCCCGAATCTTSATTTTCTTCATGTAGTTGTAGTTGTGAAATGGATTGCTATCGTCGCAATGATTATTGGTATTGGCCCTGCTACTGCTACGTGAGRTTCTCGGRGAAACAGGTGAAATGAAAACATCATCTTTACTGTCCGGACGAAGATCTTTCTGTATAGCAGAACTATTAGTATAGTTGCAGCCGCCATTCGTAGGAACGTGGCCATCAGGAAAGACGTTCTTTATCCCACGAATGATATCTTCGCACAGCCGTTCTACTGTCTTTGTTAGACCYCTCGGCATGTTCGCGATGGTCCCGGTCCGGAACTGGTAAATGTCCTTGCGGACGGCCTGTATCTTATCGCGCCCAACCCTCCAGGAGAGAGCATTTCGTTTCCCCTCTCGCAGAGCCAGTTGGTATCGGGCCTCGAGGGCCTTGATAAGATCCTCGTTCCAAACCCTCGCATCCTTCGGTTTGGGCATGCTGAGTCTCTTGGTTACATTGGGAAAGGTATGGTTCCGTTAGTGTTCGCTATACTCTCATTGACAGAACACATTCTTTTATCGGTAGATAAACTCGTACCTGTCATGTCGTATGATCAAGTTCAAGATTTGAATTTCGTTCCTTTTTCTTCTAGCGATCATCTCTCTTTTTGAAACGGCAGGCATAAATACAGGAAAAGTTAGTACGGTTCTCGTATGGCATTAGAAAACAACTGCGTTACAGTAGCTGTCAAGGGTATTGCACAGTACCAGATAATTCGTAATAAAATTACCCCTAAAATTAACGATTTTTGACCCCTCACTAGTACCTGTAACTTCCACAGACTAGTTCTAAGCTGACAAAGCATCCTTAAGCATCCCAATGACCTGGTTTTTTAAGTAATTGTATCATCTTGGTCTGGGTGCTTAGTCTGGTGGTCTAAAGTTGTTTTTTGATAGTAGAGTTCTGGCCTATTTTCTAACCAGCAGCCGGTCTCCACTGGCCAAATTTCTTGGCCATACCGGCTGTTAATGGAGAACCGGGTCCCCCTTGGGCCCTAATTGTGTAACAATGACACACAGCACTCTTCTTAACACTATGACCAAGCATATTCCCAAAGGGGATCTCATTTAAGCCGGTTCTTGAGCACTTTTAATGATGGCCTCATAAACACTGTTTGTGGTCAAAAAGTGACCGAAAACTCGTAGATCTATGTAGGATCAGTACTAAATACTGGGCTTCAAAATTAACTGTGATTTTACTAGAAATAATTTTGGCGTTTGAGTAGAATGCCTTTTTTCTATGTAGGGCGTGGTAGGCTTTTTACGGTTAACGCACTTTATATCAAATTAACTGGTACCGGGGGATGTTCCATATCCTCATAGCATAGTAGTACTTGTACTCTGTATCTACTACTACTATCTATTACTGGTACTCGTTGCTAATAGTACGATACGAGTAACCAATTTTTGCAACCAATATTGCAAAACGGTAGTAGGAGTTGACTGGTACTTAAATTATGTAAGATTCTACGTAGGCTATAATAGGTCACTTGGTCCTACTCCATTTACCAACGTACTTATATTTTCTACATAAATTTTGGTAAGGATTCTATACAGCAACCGTATTTGCTTTTTTGCTGTGGTCACATCTGTACCTCTTTTGCTTCCTTAAGACAGAGCAAATTACACTGAGTATGCAACCATTTTGCAACTCAATCCCTTGACTCACGAGAGGTGCATTTTTTGCTCACAAAATAAACCACCAACGCTCGCATACAAATAACAGCAACGCTCGCATACGAGTACCGGTTCAAGCAAAACCCCAAGCAAGAACAACAAGCAAAAACAGCAGCAGTGAGCACAACAGCAGCAGTAAGTATCGAAAAATGGCACTGCCGCAGCACAGCAGCAGTATCGTTGACTCACGAGAGGTGCATTTTTTGCTGCTCACAAAATAACAGCAACGCTCGCATACGAGTACCGGTTCAAGCAAAACCCCAAACAAGAACAAGCAAGCAAGCAAACAAATACTAGTAACTATTAAAAAAACAGCACCAACAAGAAGCAAATGGTAACAGCAGAAGCGCAAGAACGCATCAGTCGGCRCCCCCCAAGGGGACTGTAACTCCTCCACGCAATGTGAACCAGCCAGGGTAATGGAGTAGATACCATAAGATTTTGCTTGAGTTAATGGATCATGTACAYGGAAGAGTGAATGAAGGGGGAGACAATGATAATTGATTTCCGAATGATACGCTATTCATGGCAGAGCAGCTGAGTCACCTAACACCAGATCATATCTACAAGTTCTTTGCAAAGAAAGTGTTTGGTAGGGAGGATCCTGGTGTTGACGATAATCCTACTGAAGGAAGATCTTCATCCCTTGTTTACTACAAGAAGGCATTATCCTATTTCATGCCAAACAAGCTGCTCAAATGGAATATTATTGGTGGTGTTGGTAGTGGAAATCCTAGTACTAAGTCCCAGCAAGTTCTTAATGATCTAATTGCAGCATGATGATACAGCACATGTTGGAAAGGACAGCTTGGAAAGATCTGCCGACTTTCCACAATTTCTTACAGCAAAGATGAAGTGGTCTAAGAATGTGAGAGAAGAGAGGGACTGTCCAAAACAGATCTTGCTTGGATCTATGGTTCATCGATCATGTGTTGTGCTGGGGCTTGCCTTGTATCTTGAAAAGTGGTGCAAAGGTGATGGAGCAGGAAGCCAATGGTTATTCACTGAAGGAATAACAGATAGTAGSTAGATCACCACAAAAGGATGTTGCAAAAGAGGTTAATAAAGGGAAGACTGCATACTCAAATTTCATCAAGCRCAATGCGTTTAAGAATCCTGCCTTTGTTGCTGAAAGACCACCTTCAGAAGGCAAGCTTCTTGGTACTCACTCCATTTGGAAGTTTGGTACCACCTATGCAAGACAGTGTGGTTGCTCAAGGGATGATGTTGATTATAGAGCTCAATGGAAGTCTAGACRCCAGCAGGACAGATACACTGACATACAGCTTGCGTGGCCTGATATTAACGTTTCTAGTAAGTTATGCTTTGGAGGAATCTGTCCCCTACAAGGAACAGGAGTGACTGACAAATGGCTTGCTTCTTCAGTTGCCCCAGCAATTGCTAATGTGTTCGGTAACCAAGTAGCAGCAATTTTAGGAAAGGCCTTGCTTTGGGCTTGCTTTGATCCAGTGATGCAAGCATCCGGCTTGATTCGTCCTGAGGACGTGAAGCAGGATGTTGTTGCTTCTTGGGTTCGTCAACTCAATTACAGTCACCCAGTTGGTCACAGATTTGATGCTGATGTGAATTCTATCAAGCGCGTTGAGCTGATTGTCATTGAGATCAGTGGGCAGGTCCACTTTGATGAGCTTGCAGATCCAGATGACTTATTGCACTTATTGGATGGTGGCAGAGGGGGGCGGATCCCCTGGAGCTGCTGGAGGGACTGCTGTTGGGATTCGTAGTAGTAGGACTCAGTTGCAGTGGAATCATGMAATGTTTTCCAAGCTGTTTGCCACAGCTAATCAAGGGAATGATATTAAAAATAGGCAGACTGCAGCTGAAGCCAAGTTCATTCAGAAGCTGAATAAAGCCATCGAGTTGTCCCAAAGAGCTGCCATGGCCCCTGTAGCAAGATGTGGCGTCTGAGCTGTAAACAGCGGYGCTTCAGAAGCTGCTAGCGCAAGTGGAGTAGCTGAGCTTTGCTAGTGGCCTCACGACCTGTATGTTCTTTGGAATGAATGGGAAGGCGGTGTTGGTCTCAATAAGCCTGCCAAGGAGTTTGCTGCTGCTGAGCGAGGTCGTGTAAAGAGCAAGTACTGCAGGCRGTTGAAGTTCTGGAAGTGCATGGAAAGACTAATCCGTGCTGGTTGTTCTTCTGAAGTTGCTGTTAGAAGAATTTATACAGTGTATGGTGGTCAAACCAAGAAGGTCTCCTATATCCTTAGAGCCATGGCTCCCCATGAAGCTGTTGAGGAGGGACACCACTTGCTTAGAGGACCGGCTGTTGGTGCTGCTTCTTAATGATCCTTGTTCTTCTTAATTGTTGCCGTGTCTTCTTTCCTTACTACTTGTCCCCCCTCTTATATCAAATAATCATAAAAATAGTACTAGTGCACTGTGGCGTATATGTTCACAGTATTGTTGTGCTGTATTTTGCTGCTATCCTCAATAAGAGGACCATCTTAGTAGCTGAGAGGAGAACCGTCCGTGTTTTTGTTGTTAGTGTGATTGTCAAGAATTACTCTCCCGACTTGTTTTTTTCATAGAATTTGCCTTGTGCGTGATCATGTGAGTACTTCTCATCAATCACGAACACTCCAGTCTTGCCGCGCATTGTCTATAAGACCTACATAGAATATGTACTGTGTTCYACATGGTTGCATTTTTAGTTGATATTTCTTTGTGTACTTGTCGAGTACGAACCTACGTACCTTTTGCTGATAGTAAGTAGAAGTACGAAGTACTTAGTAGTTAGTAATCAAATTGATCGGCACATTTTATTTCTATTACTACGCGTTTCGTAACAATTGAAACCGGCCTCGAAAGAGAGCAAAAAGTAATAATTTCAAGTTCTAAACTTCCATTTGAAGTTATGAACTTCAAAATGTCCCAGTATAAAGTCTACGAGGTTCTACTGAGCTAGTTTTTGGATGGCATTAATGATTGAAAGGCCAGGATTCATAATTGAAAGGCCRGGATTCATAATTGAATCACCTCGAACCATTTTGTTTTGTTTTGAGGGGAATCGATTCGGTCATTCAGTCATTTTAAAAACAAGCTCAGTAAAACCTGGTACATGATGTATGAGCAAAAGTTCACAACTTCAAATGGAAGTTAAGAACTCGAAATTATTACTTTTTGCTCTCTTTCGAGGCCGGTTTCAATTGTTACGAAACGCGTAGTATTCTAATAGTTGGATGAAAAGTAAGCAGGAATAAAGTATCATGATATTTTTATTTTGTGTAACACCATGAATCCTTGGCGTACTCGYATTGTAACTATATCTCTTCATAGTTTTTGATTAATGCCAAGGTATTGCCACTCACTGAATCACATTAGAGTACGGTACATCAATTTCCAACCTGGGACTTGAGATAGAGAAACTTCGCCATGTACCGGTACCTTCGGAGGTACTCTTCCAAGTCATACAGATTTGCTTCTAGGTTTCTTCGTTTGTTTTGCTTGTTTTTCATTGGTGTCCAGTGAATTTTGTATCTACCATAGACGGAATAKATTTCAAGGTAGTCAAAGATCACACACACCGYCGAAATAGAAAACATCCACACAGAAAAATGAAACAAAGAAGAACCGAAACCGTTTCGATTTGCCGCTTCTTAGCAAATATAGTATTCGTGTCAGCTTTATTATGCATTATYGGCGTCTCAAACGCCGTTGCTTCGCTTCCCAGAAGGAATTTAGCGAAGTCAATTGGAATCTTGAATACCGTGGCGATTCGAGTAATAGATGGCAACGGGATTGCACCAAATGCAAGTGTGTCGGAATTGGAGAGTAGCATCTTTGGGATCAACAAAGTTTGCCTAAAATCTCAAATCGAAGCTTGTTCGTATGGGAAACTGAGAATTCAGCCCTTTTCAGGAGATACCGAAACGAACGTGACTATTACAAACGGCGTCGTCGAGGTCCAGATTGATTACGAAATTGTCGAGGAAAGCACTCTTGTAGCTCTCAAAGAAGCTGCAGTAGCTGCTACTTTTGCCCAACTGGGAGACTTGCGCTCAAGCGACAAGTTCGATCTGATCATGTACTGCTTGCCTCCTGGCATTGTTGACTGGCAGACGCAGGGAGTTCCCAATGGAAAATCTTCCTTCTATAACAATGAATATTGCTCTTACGTRTCGGCGCAACTTAACCAGAGTGAGTGACTTTCAATTTTGTTTTATGTCTCATTCCTACCACTGTTCCTACCACTGACAAGGAACTGAATTTATATTGCTTGTCCTCACTCTCTTCCCTTTTTTTGTGGTACCAGTTGGAACCAATCTCAACCTTGCTCCATCGCACGCAATAAAGGATGGCCTGAYCAAAGCGTTCGGAGACAAGACAGGGTTCATGGGGACTATCTTCGACAAGGACGACCAAAGTATGTGTTACAATCCTGCGAAAAGCTTCCAACTTGGCTGGTACAACGACCGGGTTGATACCATTAATCCTGTTTCGGACAATTTTGGCTCCATTCGGTCGATTATTCTGAATGGTGTTGCTGACTACGATGCAAAAAATGACACCCTTGGCAATGAATCGCTCGTCGTGCTACGACTGGAACAAACAGAATTGGAGAAGGACTTTTACATTGGATACAATCGCAAGCACGGCATCAATAAAAACACCACCCAAGATTGGGATATGATTACCATCGTCCGCAAGGAAGGTGGGGGGCCAACTGAGTATGGAAATTCCACAAAGATTGCCAGCTTGTTTCCAGGACGCTCGTACACGATTRGACAGTTCAATGATGACCGCGATGTTGAAATCAGATTCGTTGGTACTCGGAATGGAATGCGAGATGCCGTGGTCGAAATTGTTGACGTTGAAAACTTCAATGATATCGAAGASCAGCCTGAACCTTGCGCAAATTATACCATCGAGCTGAAGACCGATCAGTATCCAGAAGACACCGGCTGGTTCATAGCCAAAGAAGAGGAGGACGGCATCCATGAGACCGCTATTGTGGGCCAGACCGACTTCAGGGAAAAGATGACAACCAGCACGACCTCGACGTGCTTGCCCTATAGTAGTAATTACAAATTTGTTATCTTGGACAGTAGAGGAGATGGTTTGCAAGCCGGGACTTACCGTGCAATTGATGACAATGGCATCATTGTATTTTCCTACGACGGTTCTGAATTCTTCGAACGCAGAGTCGAATATTTTRAAGTCCCCGAAAGAGATTTGGTTCCCGTCCCCTTCCCAACAACTTCACCCAGTAGTTTCCCTAGTTTTTCGAGTTATCCGAGTGGTGTCCCGAGCTCCCTTGATAATTCGTCTGCTGCTCCGACTCCTGATGAATCTCCGAGTGGTGTCCCGAGTTTCCTTGATAATCCGACTGCTGCTCCTACTCCGCTTGATTGTCCACCTGATGAATCTCCGAGTGGTGTCCCAAGTTCTCTTGATAATCCAACTGCTGCTCCGACTCCGCTTGATTGTCCACCTGACAAATCTGATCCTCCAAGCSAAGCCCCGATTGTGCCTGCTCCTTGCAAAGACAAGCGCCGAAGGATCCGRTGGAAGGCGAAAAGGAAGATGCGAAGATGCAAATGGATTGCTCAAAGAGAAAAATGCGACTTTGTACACAAGRGCAAAYCTGTGTGGAAAAAGTGYCGAAAGTCTTGTGGGAGATGTGAAACGCCAGATTCCCGGGACAACGTAATTGTGATGTAGCCGGCGTTCACCTTCGAATCAAAACRAAGGTACTATTCCCGATGTTTTGAACCGATACGGACATGTAACATTCGATACCAGGTCGGGAGCAAATTGCCCCAAGATTTCTTGAAGAATGAAMACTAGCAAAATTTGTGAATTATGTACCMGAAAACAATTGATMCCTTATGAAGGCAATCAAGGTTCAATGGCACGTAAACAAAATCTGCAATATAAGCAAAGCACAATCACGCTGATGTTTGCATTCCTATCATTCTAAATRCGGACGCAAAAATTCGATGMTGTTGCCGTTGTTGTCGTCGCTCTATGCTCGATGGAACCCTGTCAAAATAAGAAATTATKGCATTCTGAGAGTTGCTGAACAGAATTCTCATGTTGCACCAAATTGGTTTGCGAGCTGTTGTCGCATGGCATGCTCTTAACGTCCAGCTAGTAGTTCATTGGAGATCCAGCTAAATCATTGGGTAAAGCTATCAAAAGCACCCGCGACGACTGCAGACAAAAACCAAGGAAGATAGAGCAATGATGAGTTAAAAAATCTCGGACACGATTCTCTGAGTTTTACTTTGTTGGCACCAATCCCAATTTGAATTTCGAATTTTGAATTGAACCGCAAGTGGAAAAAAGTATCACTGTATTAGTASTWYAGTAATTATTATCATGATTTTCAGTTAGCGTTAGGGTCTCGGGAATGCATGCAGTGATTCATCACAAGTTCCCAAAATTTACCGAACGAGAGCGATGTTACCGGCATCCTTTTTGCTTTCGTCGCTGGGMGTTGTACATTTTTCACTGTAGTTACAGTACTCGTACGTACGATATTGCAGGGGTCACCCCTGCGCTGCGATACTGTACGGTTATGAGTCATACCATGCCGCATGCTTGTTGGTAATCGTAATCGTGCTACTACTCGGAATTACTTACGTATTACTGTATGTTACCGTACTACGAACCAACACAACGGAGAGGAAGAAAAATTCATTTTGTTTCGTTTTCTTCTCTATTTTGTATTTCTAATTTCTAGAAAACCACCAGACCTCTGCTTTCAAAGCACTTCTAACAGAGAAGGAAAGAGGAAGGCTTTCAACCGCAAGCACTCGTRATTTTACTGCCATACGCCACGCACTAATCATGTCGTCACCAGAATCATCCCCAAAATGCGACGAACAACTTATTGAGCAGCAACGCGAGTGGTTGTTGGAAACGATCCCTTCGGTTCCCGACCCCATACCCGCAGATTACCTATCATCYCTGACCAAGCTAGAGCTAGCCAATCTGGATCTCACTGAACTTCCCAACTTCCTGCCAGAGCTTTGCCCGAATCTTTCTATTCTCTTTTGTCCGAAAAACAAGTTTGTAGAAGTTCCTGCTGTTATCGGAAGATGTCCCAACCTGCAAATGGTATCTTTCAAGGAATGCCAGACGATCGAACGAATCCATCCGGATGCCCTCCAGCCACAGCTCCGGTGGTTGATTCTAACGGGAAACAAAATTGCAGCCATTCCAGAAACCATTGGGCGGTGCACCAAACTCCAGAAATTCATGCTATCCGGAAATCGGATCAGGGAACTCCCACCCCGCCCGGTGCTTTCCAAGCTGAAAAACCTCGAATTGATTCGATTGGCCTGCAACCAGCTGCAGACTCCGCCGACGGAGCTCCTSGAATCTTGTCCGAATCTTCGCTGGGCAGCCTTTGCCGGGAATCCCTTCCTAGAAGACGCGAAGAAAAAGGCGAATCACTTTGCCGACCAAAACAATAATACGGCACTGCCCGTGCTCGACGACCCCGTTCTGGACAACGACTCGTGGCCGGTTCTGGGTAGGGGAGCCGGGGGCGTCACCCGAAAGGTGCCTTGGAAAGGCCAGGAYGTGGCCGTCAAAACCTTTTCCGGAGCGCTGACCTCCGATGGATCCCCGCAGGACGAAAAAGACATTTCCAAGCTGGTGGTGACGAGCGCATCGTCTGCCGGAGGTGCCAAGGAAGCTGCCCTAATTGACCTCTTGGGAGAAACGAAAGTCGGTGGGGCTCTRGTAATGGAATTCCTCGAGGGCTACAAGGCCTTGGCGGGACCACCGAGCATGACCACGTGTTCTCGAGACGTTTACTCCGACGAAGACCGGGCCGCGCTCGATGGCTTTCCGCTTTGGAAGATTGCCTTGGACACGCTTCGGGTGTTGGCCAAGCTCCACCGACTGGGGATTAGCCACGCCGATTTTTACGCGCACAACATCTTGATCCGTCCTGCTGCGAGTAGTGCCACGGAACCACAARCAGAGTATTCTGTCAAGGTCAGTGATTTCGGGGCCGCGTTTCGGTATCGATACAGCGAAGACGAAATCAACAACATCGACAATGATAGGGATCTCTCGAAATTTGGCGAGTTGGTTGAAATGGTAGAGGTCCGGGCCTTCACTGTTTTGGTGACCGAATTGTACTATCTTGCACAAGAGTCGTCACCGCAACCGTGGAAGGATCTTCTGGAAGAATGCGGTAAAGAAGGCGTTACCTTYGGTACCCTGGYCGAGCGATTCCAATCCTAATGAGTAGATCGATAAAGGAGTTTATAGTAAACTCGTTTGTCTTCATCACAGACTTAGCTATGACASAACGGACTCGCAGAAGACGTCGAAAGTGAACGTAAGAATGTAACTGCGATGGACTTTTCGTTTCGCACGGGCCTTGTTACTATTGTACCGTAAGAGCGCTTCAGTGATAGAGATTACTGTACTCTGAGCTAGTTCTGAAGGATGTTTCAATGGATTTTCTTTGCCGTTTTCCCGAAACAAGGTAGGATTTACGGTACTCCGAATGGCAAACAGACCATTACCAACACCAACAAGGCAAACAAACATAGTTTTYAGCCCAATCTTTGCTACAACAAATCCTACGAAGATCGATTGTCGTTTTCTATCTTTTCAKATTCAAGCCGCCTCGACGTATCCATTATTTGKTGTAGGAAGTCAAATTATAGTAGTAGAAGCAACATTGTTATGAAATATTACAGTACTACGTACTRCAGTATGAAATACTTCTAGTGCACAAGTAMAATACAACACCGTCCGTAGGTTTGTCGTTGACTCCGGGACTGAAATTCATTCGTGTCTTTAGTCTGAATCTCGGACGGCCCGAAATCCAACCTTTCATTAGAAAAAGTGTCGAAATCTGTTCGTGTTTAGATTTTGGAGATCATGGGGTGCGATTGTTGATGTTCTTGAAGACTACAGTAAAGTACGTACCGTACGGTACCGTACATAAAAATATTTCTGAAGATGATCTTACTGTAAAGAAGTACAGGATACTGTAATACGAATTACTTCTACTTCGTACCACCAAAGCAAACTACGAAAACCCGTTGACCAAAACCCATCAACATCAATACAGTACAATCAAAACCTCCATAATAATGTTTCTCGCGTTGCTATCGGCAACCGTAATGGTGTCGTTGATAACATGCTTTCGGYATTGTTCACACAGTAACTTCGTTGTCGTGGCCGTCTCGGACCACATTCTTTCCCACAGTGTCAAAGTTTCTACCACAGTGACAAYAGTCGGTGCAAGAAAGATAGATGATGAAGGAAATCCAATGAGCGACGTCATCGATGTAGACCATTGCATCACTTCTGCCGATTGTGCCTTTAACGGGGAATGTATCAAGATCACCCAGGCCGAAACTACGTTATTCGACGGGAGACACAAAAACAAAAACTATAACAYGGAGGCAAGAGTCGATCCAGAGGCACCTGGTTTGTGCGACTGCTTTCCTGGATGGAAGGGACGAACCTGCGAGGTTTTGGACCTATTACCAGTCGATCCCAAGCGAATCGGTCTCAAGCTCCCGGATCGGAATTCGAGTACGTGGGGAGGATCGGTCGTGTACTACGAGGACCAAGACAAAGACAATACCAACGGCCTCTATCACATGTTTGCCTCAGAGATCATTTACAACTGTGGTCTCTCTTCGTGGACAACGAACAGTCAGGTGCGTTTCGTCAGGAGGAAAGAGCATATGCTCTCAATCTCAGAATATTACGCGAGAAACAACGGAGCAGGCATGACATTTCAAAAAAAATTCTTAATATTATATTTAACCTCGTGAACTAGAAGAGGCGCTATGTGAACCAGAACCAGAACTTCTGGGGAGAATAATGCGCCTAGCTGCTCCAAGGGGCGACGCCTCCCTCCGAGGAGTGGTTGTGGAGGCGCGACCGAACAAGCATGACGTATCAATCTGTGTCACAACTTGTTGATATAGTGATTGCCTCTCAATTCATTCGTTTCCTCCCTTGTGAATCTTATGCTTTAGGTCATACGAGCTGTATCGGAGTCTCCCTATGGACCCTATCGAAAGGTTCAAGTGATTTTGCCTACATTTGCCCACGATGCCAATATTATCAGAGCTCCAACCGGAGAATTTGTGTTGTACGTTACGGCCCTGAGGGGTATTGCACCAAAGGACTGTCGTCATTCCAGCGATGCAGAATCTGTTTCTCGTCTCTCTATTCTGCACCAGATGCATGGTAGCAATACCACAAAGATGCGGCATCTTCGCGAACCTCTGGTCAACGGCAGCAAGAATGATGATCATGATATTCCGCCGAAGGACACGTACATGCTTTGGGCACCAAAACCCGAGGGACCTTGGTCAGAACCCGTGATGGTCCTAAATTCGACCATTTACAATTCAGATTACTGGAAAAAGTTCAACAAGACCGCCAAGTGCGATTCCAATCTGAACGGGATTATTCTACCCAGCCGAAGTAGTGGCGGCGACCATAATGCCTTACACCGTCACGATGACAGCGGAGCTCAGCCMTTTCTTGGCCTGTGGCGAAGGTGCGAGACGGAGGACCTCCTAACCATCCCTCATGCGCTCTTGGCCTCTGATTGGAAGAACGCTTCCACATATGCTCCACTCGCCGAGACACCTCTATTTGTTCTCGCTGGTTCAGGCGCCGAAGACCCCAGTAACATCTGGACGACACAAACCTCTGATATGAAACCGGGCGAGGTGGCATACCATGCCTTGTTTCACGACGAGCAAGCCACTCGTTGCATGCTTGGATCGTGCGGTGGCCAGGGACGGCACGCCGTGAGTCTAGACGGGACCACCTGGAAGTACGCCAATGTCAATGCATATGATCGACACTTCATGGTGGGCAGCAATTCCTCTGTCCTGACGCGAGCCGACACGAGGGCCAGACCACACATCATTCTGGCCCCATCCACAGCCACAAAATCCGGAACGCATCGCCACCAAAGACCGGTGGCCCTCTCGACGGGCATAAAGGAAACGGACGAAGACGGCTACGTATATACCCTGGTACAGCCTCTCAATACGGAATAATCGATGCAAGTGTTTGTCCGACAAAGAAAATGCTGCAAAAGCGGATGCCAATGGCGCAATAATGGTCGTGACACCGAACGTATTGCAAATCATGAATCAACCTTAAACGATTTCAGAATCGTCCAGAGCAACTCTAAAAAATTAACGCCTTGGACGTAATGGAAAGGAACTTTGCGTTTCTATTGTGGACTCCCTCTTCCAATCAAACTTGGAAAGTGGAAGTTATTCTCAAGTGCATCCAAAAACGTTTCTGAGCATTTTCTTTCGACATAAATATTGAGGGAACCTCGTTGCAAGAATAAACTCTGAGTAATTTTAATAGTTGCGATAAACGAGTCCTATTGGTACTGAGAAGTCTGCTAGAATGCTACGAAAGCCTTAAAAACTGTTAAACCAGTCGTAGGTCTGGCGGCCATATTACTCATCGTGCATCACAGCGGAGCTTTACTGTTGCATATGTACGGTTGCGTAAGGATTRCCCAGAACTGTGAAGACGGCATCAGCCCCATGGGTTTCGATAAACGCGTCCAGCCATCCCTCTAGCCATATGGAAGGATGGTCCTGTGTGGTATTTGTCATATCAGCGTCGTAGTTCTCATCCCCAATGGCATCATTCGCGTGTGAGTTAMGCTTCCGAAAGCTCAATATGTTACGCCGAGGATCCTTCCGTGACAAATAGCGCTCTTGGGATCCCAAGTAGTGGTAGGCCACAAGCGGCTTGTGGACCCTCCGTACTTTTGGGTAGATTTGTAGGGAAAGTTCCTGTGGTGGACAGGAATCCAGGGGACGGTGAATACTAATGACAGGCYCAGATCCCCGGTTACTGGTCAGATCTAGTGTATTGGTCCGTACAATGGTTTTTGAAAGCTCAATGCTGGAGTTGAACCTTGCGTGGTACTTCCATCGGAGAGATTGAAATTTGGCGTGGTTCCAGGATGCACTCATCCCACTAAAATTTGCGAAAGTTGTACTGATAGATGTCCCATCATCTWCTTCTTTGTCTCCAAATAGTACCCGCGGTATCACGATGCATTCTTTATATCTCGGCAGTTYGCTGATATAGTCGCTGAAAAAATTCCACAGAGAAACATCCGAAGGTCGTTTGGGATACAAAGCTACAAGGTCATGGGGTTTGTAACCGGTYAAATTCAGCAATTTTTCGTAGTCTTCTTTGTGTTCGTACGCGTTGACACTGCTGTGGTYCGTTAGATGCTCGCTGCTATTGCTCTGAACATAGGCAGAAATCCATGGATTGGGCACCAAGAATTCATCCGTGTCGATGTGAACAGTCCACGAAATAAGACCACTGCCACTATCTTGTTGCTCTCCTTGACCAACCTGGTATGCATCCATTTGTTCCTCTTTGATCTTACGATAACATTCGCGTACAAAAATTCTTTGGCGGAACCGGTGGTTGTTCATTTTGTGGGCGACGCGCTTCACCACGGTTTGGTGTCTCTTGTTGTAGGTTTCGTTACGGTGCCAAGYCGTGGACAAAATATGTCTATTTTCAATGTCGGCAGCGGTTAGCCTTTTTGGATCAGTAATCTTCTTCTTAAAATGTATTTCTTCTTTGACCGTGATCGGTATTTTTGAGTAGTCTTTTTTGTCTCCTTGAAAAAACTCAGGGGTGTAGTCCTTGTCATTCCAGATTGTGAAGTCGAGGTGGAACCGTCCTTCGAAGGAAGTCTCGCTGGCAAAGGACTGCAAGATTTCAAGAGGAGAGGTTTCGCTGTCGGGATCAAGTGCTACGATCAAGCGACGCATTTTAAAAACGTGATAGTGATAGGCAATCCATTCAGGGAGAATATCGTTGTCGTCCTTCACGAGCAAACAAAAGGCAGATGATTGTTCCCTGCTATTCCCGTTCACTTTCTTGGCGATGGATTTGGACGCAGAAGTAGGTTCAGATTCTACATCGACATCGACATCGACATCGACATCGACATCGACATCGACATCGGCACCGACATCGGCACCAACATCGGCACCAACATCGGCACCAACATCGGCACCAACATCGGCACCAACATCGGCACCAACATCGACACCGACGCCGGCGAGAGAATATTCTTCCTTTTTTTCTTCCAGATACGTCTTGAACTCAGTGAGATTGATGGCTTTGTCGTCGCAAAAGCGTGGAACCCTGATACAGACSGGTCTTGTGTAGTTCCGTTTCTGCTCAGTCACGTTCCATAGTCCAACTGTGGTGCTCAATTCTGCCCCGAAGTGCAGTGCAAACTCGATATAAAAATGATCAAGCCTTCTATCTTTTGTTGTAACMATTCCTGGCGCTAGAATTCGTTCTACTCCGGTAGTGTTCTCCATTGCGAGCTCTCCGTACCGACTAAATTGCTGRACCAGACCCACTTTGTCGGCACGACTAGCAACGATGAGAATCTGGCTGCCGATTAGAAGTGGATAAACGAGTTCTGCGCCCTCCAACCCCACCACGATCGCATCCTTGAAAGATTCTAATATCGTGCACGGGTCGAGATCCCTTCTCAGCGTCTCGGCATCGAAGATCTCGCAGGACATCGACCCTCCAACCGTCATCTTGCATGCCTCCAGGGCCTCTCTTGCATTCGTCAGAATGCGGTCGACACCGCGCTTCACGATGACTACGCGCTTAGGCGGGCGGCGGTGGGTACGGTTTCCGCCTGGCTCTATTTCTTGTTCGTTCGGCGGCCATTTGGCACCAAGGCGATGTTCCACACCACACGCGCCGAAAAGCTTTTCCTGAAACAAGCGCAGCCCACCAGACACACGTCTTGCATCGTAGCCCACTTCCGACTGATAAAACGATTTGTGCATGAGGAAGTAGGCCATTGTGTCTCTCGCATCATCAACTGCAGCCTTTGTCGTGATCTCTTTAGTTGTCCATTGCCAATGCGCCTCGTGCCATTGCCTGCATGATTTCTTTGTTGCGGGAGCGCCGAAGGCAAGGGTAAGAGCCCTTTTAGTCTGAGACGATATCGTGGTTCCCTTCCAGTCACTTCCCAGTGCGATCACCCCTCCGCAAAGAGCAGCACGAAGTCCATTCTCTGTAAGACCATGTCCAATGTTGGCAAAAGCCTTCAAGTTGCAGCAATTCCTTTTCAGATGCGACAACCTTGCAGGAAGGATTGTTTCTTTTTCTGYTTGTTTATTAGCGAAACCCGAACTGGTCAGAAAAGACCACGATAWGTTTAGAAGAGTAAAAAACAATGAGAGAAGACTAAAGATCCAAAAAGGGGCAATTTTCTCCCTTCGTCGTCGTTGTTCCATGTCAGCGATGTGATGACAATAATAAAATGGTCGGACCTTCCTTCGTTGTCGTTGTTTCATGACTGTATTATTGCTATGGTGTGCGATGTGATGACAATAATACAATGGTCGGACGGAACTGCGTTCAAAGGAAGTTGCGTTCAATGGTGTTTTGCCTTACACCTGTTTGTTGCAATGCTCTTCCTCGAGATGATGGAACATCTGCACATCGATTTTCCTGCTCCTGAAGGGGTGACAGTACAAARTCTGCAGGGTTCTACGCAWTGAACAGTAGATTKAACTGAAGAGTGGAATTCCCAATTAAAAACCAAGCACAAACCCGATTGCGTTCCCGGACATGTTCCGTACGATGGAACATYTGCACATGCACGTCGATTTTCCTGCTCCTGAAGGGGTGACAAGTACAAAATCTGCAGGGTTCTACGCATTGAACAGTAGATTTAACTGAAGAGAACTCCCGAACCCGATTACGTTCCCGGATATGTTCCGTACTTCTCTTAAAAAGAACAAAAGTCAAAAAAATACCAACGTACAAGCTTCTACTGATATCATACTTCTAGCAACTGGGTCATTCCCGATAACATATATCGAGGTATGTTTTTGGGAGTCACTTTCAGTGGTACTGAAGGCACAGCCGGCCGGCTCAACTTACATATTTTCCCTCCATTTTTGGAATTTGGAATCCTGTATAATTTGCTYGCTAATTTCACAAGATTCCAACAATTTGGGATTTTCACGAGGACAGAATTGGCAGGTCTGTCTTCCAAACTTCCAAAACTGAATCCTTCTCCAAAACTACTCCTGAGACTGGAAATGGTTAAGTCAAGGATTCCAATTAAAAAATATGTAAATTACTTCGTACATAAAAGTTGGTTGTCGTGGGCCCACAACAACCAACTTTTATGTATTTTGGGTCATAATGTGAGCCGGGCGTGCCAAAATTTACACAGATATATGTTATSGAGAATGACCCAGCAGTTGTTCCCATCTTGAATGCAATCATTCGGTCACTCCCGATACAGTAGTGGATGTGCGACTTTTGATACTAGACTGACAGACTGGAAATTTATTACATCTGTAACAATAATTATTYCATTGTTTGATTGAGGCCAAGCCGACCCCATCAAACCTAAAAAATTTTATGTTGGAACTCATGATTCAAGATTTCAAGTCCATTGAAGGATTCAACAGAACAAAGGCCCCCCAAAAATTAAAATAAATGAACTTAAGACTCATCTACTATCTTACTAGTAAACAAGAAAAAACAAGTGAGGAGGTGCATCTAATAAGGCATCTTCAATACATAAACTATATCCCAATTGGTGCTCTTAGTCAGTACTTTCTATTTCCTTTCTCTGTTGCAGCAAAGAGAGCAACAGTACGGAGGGAGCTMGTTGTCGCCGAACCGGCCTCAAAGAGGGAACTCWTTGGTGCTGTCATTKTCCCATCCCCCACACTATTTTTTAGTAAGAAGAAACAAGATRGRAAAAGCTGGCAATACAGGCCAGAAGGCTGGTGCAGCAAACTACTATCATGAGGATGAGCTACACATTCTCATGGGCATGATACTTCACAGGCTTCCCACTAGTGGAGACAACTGGGATCTCATAGTAGTGAATGATCATGCAAAATTGTGGCCCTTCTTTAGATACTCTTCTTTAGAAGCCAGACCTTCATAAAGACTAAGTATGCAGCTGCTATGCCAGAGTATGTGAAGATGGCAAGCCAGGT